TTTCAGTTTACAAATTAAAATCCATTGAAAATTATGCCTCGGTTTACAATACAAAGCAAGTTTCCCCAGGATGCATTGCACCTGGGAGGTTTATAGCACCGCCCCCTGCATGCTGGAGCCTATGGGTGGCACGTGGTGTCGAATGTGGAGGTGTTGGTGCGGCTTTTGCATCGAGTTCTGGAGCCATTCTTGAGGCCAAACGCGCTTAGAAATTGTGTTTTTATCCTTTAAAAAATCAATTAAATAATTTTTTTGGCTACTGTTATACGTTTGCCATATTCCTTTTTTTATCTTTATCTTACTGCCTGACACCTTTACCCACTGTTCCCAAGAGGGCTAAAAAATTCCAAGGTGGGGATTATACCACCAGCGCCCTAGTCATCGAGCAGTGAGTCTGCTCAGCTAAATGTGAGTACATTTCTTGTATTCTAATATTAACTATTTGTCTCAAAGCTAAAGTGAGCACTATATTTATTGAAATTTTTATCTTTTGGGTTGGGGTCTCCCCTGTTAACATTGCTTTGGAGGTTTTGAAATACCACACGTATCCCAGAAATGGGGATCATACCACTTTATGCCCTATAAACCAGAGCTGGATTTAGTTCTGGGAAATGTGAGTAATATCTACCTCATATATGTCTCGATAGAATTTTTATATACATACTGTACCATTGGAGTTCCTCTCACTTCTTTTTTATATGTTCTACTGGATCCCAAATTGTTTCGATCTAGGAACTGCTATCAACAGTTTGCTGCTCCGTTTACAAGTCTATCTTCCTATTTGGAGTGTTCTATTTGGACATTTGTAATTTTAATTTATTTTATTTAACTGTATACTCAGGCGCTACCTTTCTCTCTTTTTTTTTTACTTTATCTGTATTGTGGGGTTTGAGAGCGAACCCCATTTTTATAGGTTTGCTGCCGTTTTCTGTGGCCTGTTAGTGCTGATCCACTTTTGATTTTTTTCTTTTCACACACTGACAGACACACATACACACTCACTGACAGACACACACACTCACTCACTGACACACTCTCACTAACAGACACACTAGCACTCACTAACAGACACACACACACACTAACACACACACACACACACACTCTCACTAACAGACACACACTCACAATTTTCTTTTCTTTGTTTACATTTTAATCCACCCAGCCTCCCTACCCTTGGGAGTGCTGGGGTGGATTCTTTGCTGGGGTCCAGTGGGGCTGGCTGCTGGCGCCAAGGGGGCTTGGAGTGACATCATAGTCCGGCTCTGGCATCACTGCAGGGTGAGCAAGGGAGCTGAGCAGGAAGAGCTCAGGGGAGAGCCCTCCCTCACCCATGACTCTAACGTGTGCAGATGCCAGTCTACGGTTGGGGGGAGGCGGTTTCTGAGGTGGCCAGGCATCTGCAAGGCGAATGGGGGCGGCTTTTTTTGCGGCCCCCTTGAAAGTGAAACCCAAGGCAAATGCCTTGTCAGCCTCGAGCTAAATACAGCACTGCCTGGGGAACTGTAACCAGGTTTATTTACAAAAGTGCAATTTTTTATTGAAATCTGTGCTTTTTGTAAAATTAAAAAAGAATGCACACTCTTTACACATAAAACACTTCAGCAAGAGCTTTATGGGTCTTGAGTGTCCCTTTAAGATTTGCATTGAAACAATCTAACCCTGAAATCTAATGTGTTTTTTCCCCAACATGCTTAATTACCTATTGTCTGTGAATGGAATTTAAATCTAATCCTTTTGCATGATACATAGGGAGAGGACTGTAAACACCACTGTTGTGTCCTCCACATTAAAATAAAAAAATACAATGTATCCCTTCATCCCAGACAACAATATCCCACTTAAATACCTGTCATAGATGATGAGGTAGACTGGGAATCTGAGCTGTGGGCTTTTCAAAATAGTGTTTTTTTAAACTTTTCCAAAAGGTGCTTCCTAATTGAAAAGTTAATATTAGATGTTCTGTTTTTAGCATTTGTAACCATTTTCAATGGCACTTTAGACAGTCACGTATCACTCTCAATATTACTTAATTAGCACTTCTGTGAAAATTTTTGGTAAATTTTAGAAACTTTCAGGCATATGGAAGAATTTCTATTGAGTTCTGAGGTAATGTAAACTGGGGCTAAATAATAAAATAAAAAGGGTGACTGCATACATACTGAGTAGTACCTCTGGGTACTAATTATCTTGTATGGTTCTCTCTGAATTTGGTCACTTTGAGGGGACACTATAGCCACCAGAACAACTACAGCTTGATATAGTTGTTCTGAGGTCTATGGAATGTCCCTGCAGGTTTTTTAATGTAAACACTATCTTTTCAGAGAAAAAGCAGTGTTTACATTATTGTCTAGTAACACCTCTAGTGGCAATCATTTAGATGACCACTAGAAGGGCTTCATGTGCCAGTGCTGCACAGTGTGCTCTGCATTGATTCAATATATCTTTATGAGGAAATGCTGATTGACGCAGCACAGCATATTGCCACGGATGCGCAATAGCCTCCCAGTGCTTTCCTATGGGAAAATAATGCTATGTAATGTTAAAAAAATTAATGCTAATACTAACTTTTCAACTAATTAGGAATAAACTCTTGAAAAAGTTGAAGAAGCCAAGATTCTGATAGTGGCTTGCTCAGACGCCTCTGGTGTTTGCAGCTGATTCCTGTCATGGGGAGCCAAAAAACTGGCCCCGAGGCAGGTGGTTGTGTGTGCAACAGAGGCAGCTCTGCTCCCTCGTGTGCTCTGCTGTGATGCTAGGAGCTGGAATATGATGTCACTCCGGCCCAAACATCACTAAATGTGTGTGAAGGAGCAGAATAAGACAGAATCCACACTGGACCCCAGGAACAGGATCCACTCCAGCTCTCCCAAAGGTATGGAAACTGGGTAGACAAATAAAAAAAATAAAAAATCATATAATTTGTGAGTATGTATGAGAAGGTGTGTGTGTGTGTGTCTCTGTCTGTGAGTGTCTGTCAGTGTGTGTCAAATCTCTGAAAGTCTGTGTCTGTCAGTGATGTGTGTGTGTCATTGAGTGTTTGTGACTGTCAGTGTGTGTGTGTGTGTCAGTGAGTGTGTCTGTGAGTGTTTGTGTGTCTGATTAGGTCAGTAAGTATGTGTGTGCCTGTGAGTGTGTCTGACAGTGTTTGTGTGTCTGAGTAGGTCAGTGAGTGTTTGTGTGTCAGTGAATGAGTGGGTCCATTAGTGAGGTTGTCGTGTGTGTGTGTCTGTCTGTGAGTGCCTGTCAGTGTGTGTCAAGTCAGTGAGAGTATGTGTATCAGTGACATCTGCAGGTTTGTCATTGTGTGTGTCTTTGTAGCTGTCAGTGTGACGGTCAGTAAGTATGTGTGTGTGTGTGTGTCAGTGTGTGTCAAGTAAGTGAGAGTCTGTGTATCAGTAACATCTGCAGGTTTGTCATTATGTGTGTCTGTGTAGCTGTCAGTGTGACGGTCAGTAAGTATGTGTGTGTGTCAGTGTGTGTCAATCAGTGAGAGCGTATGTCTATCAGTGAATGTGTGTGTGTCTGTCAGTGTGGGAAATTGGTGAGGGTGTGTGTCTGTCATTGAGTGTGTGCATGTCAGTGAGTGTGTGTGTGTATCTGAGTGTGTGTTTCTGTCAGTGAGTGTGTGTGTGTCGGTGATATTATGTGTTGGTTAAGCAGTGTGTGTGCCAATGAGTGCATATGAGTGAAGGAAAATGTGTCTGCTTAAAAGGATGAGGTACGAAGAGGTGGATTTCTAAGAGGAAAAGGTGGAGCCTAAAGACGATGGAGTGGGTCTTAAACAGGAAGAGGTGTGGTGTTAACAGGAAGGAGTGTGGCAAAAGTTAGATTAGGCGGGTGCCCAAGTTTAGTCATAACTTAGGGCAGCACAAAACCAAAATACACCACTGGAAACAACATTCATTGTCAAATATTTATATAGTCAAGGCATGAAATGCATTAAAAATAAACAATCATAAAATATATGCCAGAATCTGGTGCTTCTTCAGTAACGTCTGCACCAACTTACGGACCTCTAGATTTTATGGTAAATCTGTATATATTTCTCATATATAGAGATTATAGGATATAGAAAATTTACTTGAAATATACCTGATCACCACTTCTCAGTTGTAATATTTTGTTTACCTTTTGATATTTCTGCTCTTTTTATGATCAGTGTTCTCCCATGAAAGTGGGAGACACCAAGAACCAAGGAATATTGTTTTTCTTTGTATTTTGGATTTTAAAACGCATTATTAACTCCTATAATAAAATGTATTAATTAATGTACACATAACCTCAGAAATGTTTTATAGCTCTGATCAAAGTATTCTCTGCTCTTCTCAAACATTTGCTAAGTCTACAGAATCTAGACTACAGTAGGCTACAGTCGTCTTTATGAAGAATTCTTGTAAATATGAAGAAAAAATTATAATTTTCAGCTATGAAACAGTGCAAAACCACTCCAGAATGCAGACAGGAAACTGGAAGTCTGAAGTCTGAAGTGGTAAAGACACCTACGCAATCTCACCACAATATGTAATACACTGGTAAACCTAAAGAACGAAATGGCCAGGTTACTATTTGATAAAAAGTAGATTGAAACATTCTAGAGTTATGGAAGAAACAAGGCTTTTCACTAAACTGGGACTTGTCAGAAATGAATCAGTAAACTACAAATACTTAGGCCAAAATAGGCTACTTCAAAAAATATCTTCAACTTAGCTATTTTTCCAACTACGCTATTTTATATTAAAATTTTCGATTGACACATTTTATGGATTACCCCGTTTAGTCTTCTTGATAGATGGGAAGAAGAATGATTGGTGCACGAAAGAAACTGCAAATGATCTAAAGTACCGCACCTGATACATTCAAGGGACACCCTAAGCACCATAAACACTGCAGCATTTTTAGAGGTTATGGAACCAGGAATGTTGGTTTGAAACATACCTTACTTGCTACATCATACTAGTTACAAACAGCTCCCATGCAAGGAATACTGTCTAAACCTGATGTTAATTGGTATAATAATACAGAAATATGAACTTTATCCTAGCAACTCAGACCAGAACAACTACAGGTGCCTGACACGGCAAGGCAAGTGTCAAAATGTTTCTAGGGGGTGGAGCCAGCAGCCGCACAGAACGGACGTGTCTCTCAGGAGCTCCGTTCAACACGGGGAAAAACAAGCTGTTTCTGCCCAATTTACCCTACCACTCCAGCCCTACCAACTTCTTAAGACAATGGGGCGCAAAAGCAAAAAATACCAGACGGAAAAACACCCAACTACTGCCGATATCGGCGAACTTTTGTGGAGGCCACAAGCATCCCTGAGACCTGTCATGGAGCTGCTCTCCAACGCACCGTCCCGATCATCCAGTGAAGACTCACTCTCCAACCTGGAAATGATGGCGGAGACGCAGAGAGCAGGCAAGCCTAAGGCACAAAACAACCCTCCAGTCACTGAAGACCGACTGAAAGCCCTCTTGGATGATCTACGCCGACATATCGCGGCAGACATCAATTCATTTAAAGAGGAAATTAATGGGGTGTCCGTGAAACTACATGACACAGAAATCAGCACAGCAGCACACGAGGCCCGCATTAATAGCCTTGAGAGCTAGCTGACTAAGACCAAGAACGATTTGATCCAAACCCAGCACCAAGTTGCAGCAATGGAAGTTCGTAGGCGATGGAACAATGTTAAAATAAGGGGCCTGGCTGAGAGCGTTACAACCGCAGAAATCCCACACCTCATCAGAAGACTGCTATCCAGCTAATTCACGCCAAAACAAGCCAAAGCCATGTTGCTGGAGGGGTGCTACAGGCTACCACAACCGCAGGAGAACTCCCAGCAAACCAGAAGGTATGTAATAGTGCGTTTTCAGCACGGCCCGGACAAGCAGGCCTTTCTGTCAGCGGTCCGCAACACCACTCCTTACCAATTTGAGGGACATTCCTTATTATTCCACCTGGACATTTCCAGGGCCACAATGACATGGCGGAGATCCATGAGACCACTTACCACAGTGCTGATGCAACATAGGAGACCCTACAGATGAGGAGCACCACAAAGCCTTTTGATACTGTAATCCTTGTCTGCAGGTAGCACGGTCCTCTTGGGCACAAACATGCACAGTCTTTTAAGGCAACTTAATTCCAGGCACTTTATTGTTAAACTCCACCACAGATACAGCAGCAAATAAAAAAACAACAATAACACAAATCCCTATAAACAAAAACCTAGCTCGGTCTGAGCACTAACTAACATCAAGTTCCCTATCTCTCAAGGGTTTAAACTATTACACTATTAGGTTTTATCAACCTAGTGCCTTTGTCAGATCTCTGCACTCCACACTCAGTTAGCATGTGGCTTCCATTCCTTCTAGAAAGAAACAAAAATTCTCTCTCTCCTTTTACCTGCCCAGCATGGAGGGGTTTATTCCCACTGCTACAGCTGATCACCTGCAGCTGAGCAGTGGGTTGGAGACAGTCCCAAAACCCTGGCCTGGATCAATGTCTCCCAAGAAAACCACTAAACTGCGGAGTGGAGCACTGGCCCACCCTGCTCTCCAAATGCTCCACCCCAGGGGCCCATAACTAAATATTCCTTTAGGTTATATACACACAGACACACACACTCCCCCTGGGGTTAAAAATCATATGCCTCTCTGAACAATTCAGTCGAAATATAAACTCCCTCACAGACCACCCCATTCACCTTATCACATTACCTAACAAGACTGGGACTCTTAGAGTTGCTGACATATCCGAAATGGGCTTCATTCTTCAACAACTTGGTCTCCCCCCCGCGGAGACGGGGACACAACCACCAGCACCTAAGCCAAAGTCACAGACATGGGACCTGGCCACTATCTGCTCTTTTGTCCCGACTACCCAACAGAACAACACCGATACCACCGAGACAACTTGAATGTCCTACACTACCACGCAATGCTTGCAGTACTGCTTTTATCCAAGTTACTGTTTAATATGTTTCACTGTTTATTCTATAATTAGGTACATAAGCATGCACAATGTGTAGGCAGATAGCTGTCCCGGGAGACATGTCTCACCAAACCCTTACCCGCTGGCTCTGGGGTATACGTACCCCTTTCTTTCTCCCCCCCCACCCCGATCATCGATCTCAGCACTAGGTTACATGTTAAAAGGGCTGTTTCGTCTCTTGTGCTTTATCCACACATGTTAATGTCCTACACGCGCTGATCCCAAGAGGCTCATAGCTATTACTGCCCCGTGACAACATTAGATTCTACCGATGACTTTCCAAAGACGGGCAGTCGGCATAGTTTAGCTGAGTTGATTTGTCACTGTATCCTATAGGTTTTTAAGATAAAACCTTCAGACCTAATCTGTTCCACATGGTTAATTATGAGAGAATAGGCAGGTTTGCTATATACTGTTGTTTTGCATGCTCCTAAAAACGCCTTGCATCTTATCCTAATGGCACACAACCTCCAGTACACACAAACTGGTCTGTGAGCCACTCTTAGCCCTGTTTAAGATAACCTGTTTTATTGCACTGCTAATTAGTACGCAGCTTAACTAAATTCTGCTAGTAATAATACCAAAATGTGCATGAAAACTATTTGCCATGTGAATGTTATATTATGTATAATGGAACACTTGCATCCGCTGTCGTGGCAATGCAGGCCGCCTGTACTCAACAAGCACAATAAAAATAAAGAATTAAAAAAAAAATGTTTCTAAAAGTTTTGATTTCTGGTTATATGGTGCTCAGGGACTCCTGGCACTAGTGATGTCCCGAACGGTTCGCCAAACGGTTCGCCACGGATGGCGAACATATGCGCTGTTCGGTCCGCCCCCTATTCGTCATCATTGAGTAAACTTTGACCCTGTACCTCACAGTCAGCAGACACATTCCAGCCAATCAGCAGCAGACCCTCCCTCCCAGACCCTCCCACCACCTGGACAGCTCACTAAGAATGCAGCTTCACAATGAATGTAAAATGGATGCTGTCCAGGAGGTGGGAGGGTCTGGGAGGGAGGGTCTGCTGCTGATTGGCTGGAATGTGTCTGCTGACTGTGAGGTACAGGGTCAAAGTTTACTCAATGATGATATAGGGGCGGACCGAACAGCGCATATGTTCGCCGTCCGTGGCGAACCGTTCGGGACATCACTACCTGGCACTAAAGCTACTACACCCCTCTGTATTGGTTAAGGTGCGTGAAGTGTCCCATGGGCACAATGTTACGGTCTGGGTATTGTAGATTTGCAAATAGAACGGAGTCACTTGTCTCTAGAACTGATGTGACTGCTGACAGCATTTGTATCATCAAGTAAAAAGATCATATGTGCTCTGATTCAACTAAGTTCCTTAAATCTCGTTAAAGGGCACTTCATCTTGTAGCATATAAGACTTAACAGTAAATTTAACAATATTATTTTCGAGCCAAAAAGTGGAATGTTTATGCGTCAATAATTTCTACATATTGCTCAAGAGTGAAGGGAAATGTCTTAAAATAAAGAGAAGTTTGAAGATGGTTGCAGAACAAAAGTGGTAAAGTGTATTCAGTGAATATACCCACCACCTGCTGTGAATACGTGGGCTAGTTCTCAGTATTTTCCAATATTTAATGGTCAGCAGATCTCAGAGTATCAACAAATGCAAAGAAATGTTTTTTTTTTTTCAAACTCAGTTCCAGAGAATTGAACTGTGAATGGAATCATGCATGTCGATATCTGATTTGAAAAAATAAAAAATTGTGTAGCGATGGTTCTATTCATGTTGTGCATCAAATATTTATAGATTTGACAGATGAAGGCTGCTGGAGTTGCAAAGTCTGCCATTGTATATTCCTGAAATCTCCATCAGTGTGACCTGCATAACAGGAGGGAGCATCCACAGACATGCCTAAGCAGGACCAACTTTAGCTTTGCGGCCTCACATAATTAAACAAGTGCTAGTGTTCATTAGGTGCAGGGCCGTCTTTAACGCGGGGCAAACGGGGCAGCTGCCCCGGGCCCAGTTTCTCTTGGGGGGCCCGAGGCACCTGCCCCGTGGGCCCCGCTGACCCCGGCGGGCGGGTGGCCGGTCGGGCAGGAAGGCGGGCGCGCGAGGGAGCACTCACTGCTTCCTCTTCAGCTCCCTCGCGCACCGCACTGATGCCGGAGCCGGAAGATGACGCCATCTTCCGGCGCCGGCATCCCTACGCGGCGCGCGAGGGAGCTGAAGAGGAAGCACTGAGTGCTCCCTCGCGCGCCCGCCTTCCTGCCCGACCGGCCACCCGCCCAGGAGCCCAGCAGCAGCACCACTGGACCCCAGGGAATCCCCCCAGCACTCCAAAAGGTAAGGAGGCTGGGGGGATTACATTTAAAAAAAAAAATGTGTGTTTGTGTGTATGTGTGTGTTAGTGTATGTGTGTGTGTGTTAGTGTGTGTGTTTGTGTGTTAGTATGTGTTTGTGTGTATGTGTGTTTGTGTTAGTGTATGTGTTTGTGTGTATGTGTGTGTTAGTGTTTATGTGTTAGTGTATGTGTGTGTTAGTGTATGTGTGTGTTAGTGTATGTATGTGTGTGTTTGTTAGTGTGTGTGTGTGTATGTGTGTGTGTGTATGTGTGTGTGTATGTGTGTGTTAGTGTGTTAGTGTGTTAGTGTGTTAGTGTATGTGTTTGTGTGTATGTGTGTATGTGTGTGTTAGTGTTTGTGTGTTAGTGTATGTGTGTGTTAGTGTATGTATGTGTGTGTTTGTGTGTGTGTTTGTGTATGTGTGTTTGTGTATGTGTGTTTGTGTATGTGTGTTTGTGTGTTTGTGTGTGTGTGTGTTTGTGTGTGTGTGTTAGTGTATGTGTGTTAGTGTATGTGTTTGTGTGTGTTAGTGTATGTGTGTTTGTGTGTTAGTGTATATATGTGTGTGTTAGTGTATGTGTGTTAGTGTGTGTTAGTGTATGTGTTTGTGTGTTAGTGTATGTGTGTGTTAGTGTATGTATGTGTTAGTGTATGTATGTGTGTGTGTGTGTGTGTTGTGTGTGTGTATAGTCTGGTGTGTGTTAGTGTTTGTGTGTGTGTGTTAGTGTATGTGTGTTAGTGTGTGTTTGTGTATGTGTTTGTGTATGTTAGTGTAGTGTGTGTGTTAGTGTGTGTGTGTGTAGTGTATGTGTGTTAGTGTGTGTGTGTGTTAGTGTATGTGTGTGTGTGTCAGCATGTCTGTGTGTGTGTCAGTATGTCTGTGTGTGTGTCAGTATGTCTGTCTGTGTGTCAGTATACATGTGTGTATATCTGTGTGTGTCAGTATGTGTATGTGTCAGTATGTCTGTCAGTGCGTCAGTATGTCTGTTAGTGCATGTGTATGCATGTGTCCGTATATCTGTCTGTGTGCCAGTATTTCTGTGTGTCTGTGTGTCAGTATGTCTGTATATGTGCCTGTGTCAGTATGTCTGTCAGTACGTCTACCAGTGTATGTGTCTGTGTGTGTGTCAATATATGTACCTGTGTCAGTGTGTCTGTCAGTGTATGTGCCTGTTTATCTGTATGTAGTCAGTGTATGTATCTGTGTATCTGCTTGTGCGTCAGAGTGTGTACCTGTGCATCTGAGCCGCAACTTTAAATACAAATACACACCTCCATTCAAACTTCAACACT